GAATGCGCAATTAATAAATTCCAACCACGTGGCTGACCCCGGCAATGCTTGCAATTGCTGGTCGAGGTGAGCTTCAGTGCATGTTTCAGGGGCACCCGACAAAACGAAAAAAAAATGAAAAAAATCACTGAACAACAAACAAACAAATCCCAACCAACAAAGAGAAATGCCATCCAAACAGGCAACGTGGTCTAAAGATTTCACCATGTCAACGGTCAATTCGCTATTAATGCCAAACCAAAATCCGATGGGCCCTGCCCCCCGCCCGGGCGACTGGAAAAACATGTCAGAGGCGGGCGACCTTTTGACCTTTTGGTTTCCCTGATTTGATCCAGTTTTAGTAAAGGTCCCAAAAGGTTAACCCTTTGTTTCTAGGTCCTCTGAGCAAGTGAGAAAATGACCAGCTAGGTCCCCCAGCAGTGCCCTTCTCCCCTTTTTGGGGTTTTGGGTTCGAATACTAAAGCATACTGCAGAAAAACTCGGGTACCAACTCATTCTAACCTCTGGAGGAATGACATGTGGGTTCAAATTAAGCCAGGATGACCGCAGGTTTTCGGCCATGTTTCCATTGACTAAGGCCAAGGTTCCCTTCACTGTTCGTGGCCTGTTTTTTTTTGGTTAGAGTTTTTTGTGTCTGTTCATTTTTAGGAACGGGGGCTGCAAAAAGCAGTCAGTGTTTTTTTTGCGAAGCCATACCAAGGGTTGGACACATTTGAATCATTTTTGCTCGTTGTGGTTTAGTGGTTGAAATCCCCTTCCAAACCCTGCTAAAAATTAACTGCTCAAAATTAACTGCTAAAAAATAATCCCCTCATTGCTCATTTTACATAACTGCTAAAAAAATCAAATTGTTGCTCCCCTAACCAAACGTCGATGATGCATTCTTTCCCTCGCCAGAGAGTGGAATTCGTCGCTCAGAGAGCCGCGAGCCCCGCATCGAGGCCTCGGCGCGGAGCAATCTCAGCTGGCCGGAGGACCAGGCGAAAACCTCCCGACAGCGAGTGCTCCGGGCCGGGGTGGGGGAGGGTTTACCTTATAAAGGAGGGAGGGTTCCAAAAGGGGGGGGGGGCTAGTGGGAGTACCACCTTTCATTTGTTTACTTATTCACCTTATGAATTTATTGATTTGCTAATTATTGTTTTGGTGGGCTGTTCGAATGCTTCAACTGGACCCCTTGGAGTTTCTTTGGGCAGCGCGTGAGAAGCGTGTGTAGCTCTGGCGCCTTTCGGGGCCTTTGGCAGAAAGGGAGCCTGTCCCATCCCGCCGGAGGCCTTAGCGTTTCTTTCTGATCAGATGTGTTACATTTTTTGTCAGACCTGCAAGGCAAATATATTTTGAAGAGGCTGTTTAGTTTTGGGCAGCTGGTTTTTGTTCTATGTTCATGCATTTCAGTCCTGACCCAGCCTGAAGCCTGGTTCATTGTCTACTTGTGCTGGCAAGTGAGTGGTTTGCATGGTGGGAATCACATCTGGAGACTGGTAGGTGGATTTGTGGATGCCGATGGCGTATGTTGTGCCCCGGTGTTCCTTTTCGGATCTTGAAAAGAAAGTCATCCCTCAAGTGAACTTTTGGTGCAAGTGGGGGATTTCAACGTGAATGCTCTCAACCTCGCCCGAAAATCCCCCCCCTCCGGCCAATTTCCTAAAACATGCTTTGATTGCGGGTGAATTTCTGGATTTCCATGTATGGCAACCCATTTTCCCTTTTCGGGAACCCAGTGATTCCATTTCCCTGGTTTTGTAAGTAACCAACAACTTACCACCCAAAATCAAAAAATAAACAAAACCAGAGGACAAATGTTGGTAAGCTACGAAAGCGGCGACAAATCTGGGACCCGCTGGCTTGCAATTCCTGAAATGAGTATCTCACTTGTCCAAAGCGAATCGACCTTTTGAGTTTCCCATTTTTAGTCATGCCCCAAAAAAGTTACTCTTTTATTGCCAGTTCCTTTGGGCACTGAGATGTGTTTTTTTGATTTTTGTTTCTCTTGGTTTCAAGGGGAAACGATTTCACTGGAAATCTTGTCTCATTGTCCACGGGCTTCTCAGCAAGTGGAAGCTGGTTGGACGACTTTCATGGGACTGAGGCCTTGGACCGTTCGACGCCAGGAGCTGCCTGACCACCTGCAGCGCAAGCTGCGGAGATACTTCAAGGACCAAAGGGTATCAAAAGAGGGAAACGGGCCGATGCATAGGCGTCCTTTTTAGGTGATTTTGGCTAGAAAAAGATGGGTTCCACTGGTTTAGGTTGGGTTGATTCCATTGACCAGGGCCATCTATCTTCCCAAAAAGGACGTCCATGGGCCGATGGGACGCACATGTTTCCTTGGGAACATGTATTCGGGGCCTGGTGTCCTTTGTCTCACTTCCTGAGTTCCGTTTCGGACTTTAGACACTTGTTGCTTTGGTGGCCGTTTTAGTTAAAACGGCAAATCAAAAGTTCGGACTGTTTTCGCTTCCATCCGCTCGGGAAGCGAGATATATTTCGGAACCGATCCCCCCCTTTTAGTGAGTTGCTGCAAAACCTGGTAGCGGTTCATGCCGAAGGCAAACCGACAAGAGTGGCGAAAGCGCGGGGGGCCTGGAAGCCCTGGTTGTGTTCCCCACGTGTCCATTTGCTTAATATGTGTTATTTGCCCCTGTGGGCTTTAAAGGGAATCTATCACTACTGGACATGTTTTGTTTTTTCTCCCAAGGCTCAAGCAAATGACAGATTGCAAGTTGTAGTACTGTGGGTGCACGGATCCCAAAAGTGGTGGGTGGACACATTTTGCTTGGGGAGGAAAAAAGCAAATGGAGGGCGGCAAGGGACCCCAGCAGCTTCGCGGCTTCGCCAAGACTTCACCCCAGGACATGGACAAGGACAACAGCGAGTACATCGACTTTCCGGAGCTCTCGGGGATGGGGACCAAAGGTTTCTCCTTTGGGGGGCGGAGAAAGGGGAATTCGGCCTGTCGTTGTCCATCGCAGACCCCAGACAAGCCACTATAGGAGGCATCCCTTGCTAGCTTCCTTTCGGTTTCTAAAGGGCTTGGTCACCTACACAGGTAAATGGATCCACTGGGCATGTTTGTCTCCCGTTTGGAGAATCAGCTCGTTTGTTGTTCTGTGCGTTGTTTGGTGGGCCCGGACGCGTGCCACCAGGAGTTCTTCGACTGGTCCCTGAGGAATCGCTGGACAGAGGACCATGGGATGACGTCCTTTTTTGGCAGCTGCCGGAGAAGTATGGATATGGCTGTGGCTCAAAAAACCGGCCGGTACCAAAATGGGTTGCCCTGGTAAGTGGAAACATGGACAAAAACCTGCGGTGTGCCCCTCTTGTTTAACTTTGAGCCACAGCCATATGTTGTAAAACAGCCTTTATATGGTGAACTTCTTAGTTGTCCTATTGCGCTTCTAGAGCAATGACATCATGACACGGCTTGGCAAGCAGAAAGTGGCGGTTGCGGCTTTAGGGCTAGGCCGCCCTGGAAGCTGCACAGAGCCTCCAACGACACACCATGCTCCCCTGCAAAAAAAACCGTCCTTTTGCTTAAGAACAGGATTTGTTCTCCTGCTGATTTTAAAAGGAACCTATCACCACTGGACAACATTTCTCATGTTTTGGGGGCTAAAGCTTAAATGGAGACAGATGGATCCCACAAAAGGGCTCGACTGGACTTCGAGTCTGTGTTGCACCCCACCTTTCCCGGGGTTTTGAGAGGGGTGGGGCGGGGGCTGGGGCTGGGGCCTCACACGGAGCCTGATCCACACGCGAGGAGTTCCTAGCCCGGGATGACAAGGACCTGGAGAATAGGAACCGCCCGCGGGATTTGCCAGCGGGTTTTGAGGGACGGACTCCCCCCCCCCCTCCCGCGCAAACGACGAGCGGGCCGTGGATGGGTCCATTTCCCCCAAAAAAACCCAGGAGCAGCTAAAAAGGATGGAGGTTTTACAGACCCCTGAAAAAACACCAGGTTTGGATTTCCGTATTAAAACACCCTGAATGGTTTGGGTTGGCAGTGGAGGTTTGAACAGTTTCAGTGCCTTCTTCGCTCCCGGAAGGCGTTGTTCTGCCAGCTTCATGAGCGTTTCCCGTCGCATGAATCGAATGATCGGATGGTGGCCATGTGACGTTTCTTCCTTTGAGAAGGTGTTGTGTTTTGGACTTTTGCCGAGAAAGCGAACGGGTTGAAGGCCGTGCCCGGTTCCGTTTGTGTGCTTCAGTGTTGAAGCACATCTTGGCTGTTGCAGCCATCTTTACCTGGATCTCCTGGAAGTTAAGAATTCCTACTCCAAAATTGAAAAAGTACTTTTTGGCCTGAGGACACGGGTATTTCCACTTTCGAACGGGTATTTCTACTCTTGAACGGATATTTTCACCACCATCGAAGTGTTCATAAATCAGCACTGCACATAAATTATCAAAGGCTTATTGCGTAATGTTGGCGTATTTTTTACGTACCTCCGAACGGGTCCGAACGGGTCCGAACGGGTACGAACGGGTTCGAACGGGTTCGAACGGGTTTCGAACGGGTTTCGAACGGGTTCCGAACGGGTCCGAACGAATGCCTGAGCAGTCGGAACTACCCGAACGGGCATTTTAACACAGTGAAAATTATCACTCCAGCATGGAAGAAAGTACTCTTTTCTTTTTGGAGTGGGAATTATTAACTTTCAAGAGATGCAGGTATTACAGCATGCGACAAAGCCAAGACAGGAGGTTCTGGTGTCGCGTCACGCTTTGCGCTTTGCCGTGCCTCAAGCTGCTTGCACTGTCTCACACAAGGCACGGCCTCCTTGCTCAAACGGGCAGGGGGGCAGCCTGATCGATTCACGGCTTGAACCTCCAGCCAACCAGCTCACCTGAACGTGTGCCAGGCATGCGAACTGCGATGAAATGAAGCAAGCTGAGTTCGTGCAAATAGAGCAAACCGACCGCCCCTTTTCCCGCAGATCCGAATCAGTCAGGGAAGGGCTCGTGCCCAACTTAGTCAATGTCAAGTCTTCAGTGGCGATCTGATTGAAGTCATGGCTGCAGCATGAGATAGGCGCGCGCAAGATGGACCTGCGCCCGTAGCCTCATACCTCACGATGATATGGGTGGCTTGGCTCGAAGGGCAAGCGCCTGCATTGCTGCAAGGCGGCACCCTGCAAGCTGCTGACAAGTCAACGATGCGTAAGTGGACATTTGCATGTTTCCAGCCACGCAGTTCGAATCCTTGGCATTTGAATGAAAGGCCTCGTGATGCCGAATCTTGTGCCGCGCCCATTTACTGAGGCACATGTGCAGAAGGGGAGCATTGCTACCAACTACACCCCGGATATGAAGCTGTGGCTGACATTGCTCGCGATTTGAGATGCTGTCTTCAAAGAGGCCATGTGTTGTCATTTTAGGCTAGCTTGAAGGCATATTACTGGCCCTCATGCAGACAAATGGGTCTGTCCAAGAAGGCGCTTTCAAGGAAACATGGGGGTCCCTTTTTCGGACTCCCCATAAATGTGTGGTTTTGCAATTGTTTTCCTCAACAGGAGGTGCTTGTTGTTTTGGTTTGCCCCACACCCTTGGTTGATCGCTTCTTTTGAACGTTGGACGTTTTGGCAAGGAAGTGGTATGTCTCAAAATGGGGACCCCTCTCAGCGAATGTTTGATCTCCGTGTGCCCCTTGCATGGGACAAATTTCCACGGCAGGCGCCAGCTGGGACTGGTCGCTTGTCCCAGTTTTTTTGGGATTCATTCATCCCAGTTGGTGCGAAGTGGATGTGCTCACCTGCAGTTTCCCAGAGCACTTGTACATCTCAAACATAGTTTTGTTTTAGTAGTGCAAAAAGAATCGGCTGCATTTTTAGAGGGGGGGCAGTTCCTCCTATTTTCGAAAGACTAAGAGACCCAGCTTCAAAGTGGTTGCCCCACCGAATTTTGATGCACCCACGTAAAGCTCACAGGACCCCCTGTTCCGGAAGCCTTCAGCTTGAGGATCCAGCTGGATGACTTCTCCAGCCCGGAGAAGAGGCAGCGTGAGGCGCGGAACTCGGGTGGCGGCCGCTTTTTCTTGAACTTCGTGGGGGAGCCCTTTTCGGGTCACCGGGAAAACAAAGGAAAACCTCTCATGACTATGGTTGAACACGACCCATTCTATTTGCTTCGGCCTGGGTGTTTTCAAGATCACCTTGCCCTAAGTCTCCTTGGCTGTGTGTAATATGTAATTGCGCTGTGTGCCTCACTTCCTGACTTCCTGGACAAAGCTTGAAACGACTATTTTAGTGGTAGATGCAGAAGCTTGGGCCTTTCTAACCCAGGTTATAAGGGGTATACACCCCTTTGGGGGAGAGGTGTATGAACATCAGCAGGCCTTTTGGGTCATTTGCCCCAGGGGTATGTACCTTGGCACCCCTGGGTTTTTTTTAGGGCCAAGCCACTCGTTCGGAAGTGAGGTGCCCATGCGTGCGTGCGTGTGTGCGTGCGTGCGTGTGTGTGTGTGTGTGTGTGTAAAGTGATGCGAGCAATCTCCCCACCCCTAAAAGATGGAGGGTTTTTTTTTGGGGGGGAAGGGCCCTGGAATTGTCCATTTGTGGTTCTATGTTCTCTTTTATGGGGAGGGACCCTGGAATTCCATTTATGGTTCTCTTTTCTCTTTTATGGGGAAGACTAGATAAATCGAATTGGGAACCCCCCCCACCCCCCTCCACCTAACGGTGGGGGGATTGCGAGCAGAAGTCTTCGCAGCACTTGCGCCGGGCGAGGCCTCACCGACGCCGCGCTTGCCCACGCCGCGGAGATCGGTGACGTCGCCGCGGCCGAAGCAGCATGTGCCTTGGGCATGTCCGACTGTGCTCATGCCATGGTCAAAGACCGATAAGACCGACCACCCTCCCACCAACTAACATGGAAGCGCAAAAAGGCCCTTTCCATGAGGAAAGTAGTCTTTCTAGAGGGGTCTGTGCACTTCCATGGAATCGCTGGAGGGTAATTTACTTGGGGTAAACAGGGGTGGTCATCCTGGTAAGGACCCTTAATACTCAGAATGGCCCCCATTGAGGGAAGCATGGCCATAGTCCCAAGAGTTGCGACCGTGGCACATCAGCGAAGCTTGTGCAAGGCGTTACAGGGCTCACAGTGCCATTGACGTTTGGTGGCCAGGAAGCGCGTCTGACCCCCGGTGCCAAAAAACGTCTTACACGAGCAAGGCTGTGGCGAAACGTTGTGAACTACAAGAAGCCGAACACACCTTCAACACATATTCATAGTTCGAGTGAACAGACCCTTTGGAAGACGACTCCGGCTGTCCTTTCAAGCGATTAGGCTTTTGTTTCCCACGTGCCTTTCAGGCCGCCCCCAAGAAGCTCAAGAAGGGTTTATCTCAACGCCGCCCTAAGATGGGTAACTGAAGAAGATAGTGGCGAAACGCCTGGAAGCACTAAGAAGGATACTTTGAAGAACAACAAAGCTATAGGCTATATGGGTAGGGAACCCTTTGTGGCTTGTTTTAGGGAAACCCCAGGGAAACCACATCTTGGGGTTCCTCAGTTTGGAAAGAAACTGACCCCGAGGTCATTGTAAGCCACATGCTCAGCCCAGGCAATCTCACCGGCGCGCTTGGGGCATAGCATCCTCATCGACAAGACCGGGATGGCCGAGACGGCGGCTGGAGCGAACTTTTTGGGCCCGTTTTTCAGCGGCCGCGATTTCCCCGCTTTTTTCTCAGGTAACCCCTAGTCGGTGGTTTGGGTTGGATTTGGATTTGACCTAGCCTGTGTGAGGGTAAATGGGAAACCGCCCCGCTTGGAAGTGCATCGAGCTGAAAATGAGACCAGCCAGGTACAGTCTCACTGCCCCTCGTTCTCTCTTAGATGGAAAATCAAAAGCTACCATGAAGCGTCCCAAGTCCCACATTACAAAACAATTGACATTCACGCGGGCTTGCTCCGTGGTATGCCACCAAGGTCTTTCTCAGAGAAGATTGGGGTCTGAACAAACCACTAAGAAATCCCGCTGTGATTCAAGGCCTAGTCTTCCCATCTCTGTTCTAAATGACGGCAACCACGGGAATCCTCAGACACTACGGCACCCCAGGACCGATCGGGGTAGTAAAGTCAGGCGCATCGACTTGTATACATTCTACGCTCAACCTAGTGCTTCCAGTTACCACAATGGTAGGTACCCTCTGGTCCGCTAACATGGAACCGCGAGGGAACGGATCTTCCAGGTAATTTCCCGGTACCCCAAACAAACGGATCTTCCAGGTACCCGGCACCCCCCTAGGTACCATGTTGGAGGAAGGGTCACCAAAGGCACCGGGGCAAATCTGATTTTCGGATCTTGGCTGCTTGGCCTCTGGTCAACCTCGGCAAAGCGCTGTGGGGTGCTGGCTAAGGTGGGCACAAGGCGCGGCGGAAAAATGACGCCGATGTGTGGAGCAAAGCCGGCAGAAGCGTTTCTACCCATGATAGTTCCAATGAACTTCAGAGTTTATGCCCTTTTACCCCTTTTTTGGGGAAGGGTTCCCCTTCTAAAATAGACCAGAAAAAAAGGGGCACCCTTATTCTAACCTCTCTACTGGAGGACCTAGTAAACCTTGAAACTCTTGTTGCCACCCCCCCTTTTGCGGGCCAAACAAATCCATGACGCTTCTTTCTGTTTGCTTGGCGGGGCTGCCGAGGTCCCAAGCCGTGCGATGGGTCCTACTGGGGCCCGGTTGGTGTTTGGGGAGATGTCAGTGAAGTGAGCAGGCAAGGCTGAAGGGGAGGGGAGCAATGCTTGCACTCTCGCACCCCTCCCGCAACCAAAAGAATTCTCAAAAGCCGACCTTTTGTTTTGTAGGACTTCCCCTTTGCACGATAGTCAAAGTCCTTCAACACTCCTTAAATGTCAACAGCCAAAAGGGTCTCACAAAAGACACCCACATGGTTAGGGATCACCTCAGATGCAGAGCCAGTTCCTTTGGACAAGTGAGAACGAGCCGATGGCACTGGATTTGGCCAGGTTTAATGAAGAATCTGGCCAATGGTTAAGCACAACGCCAAACCAAATGGGTTGGCTACCTTTTGGTGTGTGGTTGGGCAGGGAAACCGGCAGAAACACCACCCATGCCCCATCCAAGGGTTTCCAGAATTATCATCACACCCGTTGACCGGGGCTGCATGTCCGTAACAGTGGGCGACAGGTATCACTGGCTATTAAGTTTCAACATGGCTAGGATTTTTGATAGGCCTCGAAAGTGCTGGGTGATTTTGCCCGAATCCCCTTTGAATGATGCCCACTTCAAGGTTCACTCCAAAAATCTCACTCCCCGAGTTCCCGCACGTTTTTGTGTGTGTGTTTTTTTTTTTTTTGGGGGGGGGTGGAAGACCATGTCAGCGGCAAACAAAAAAAGTTCAGACTTCCTCTGGCCAATGCACTCGGACTCGAGAACTCCTGCGACGAATCCTGGGATCGCAGCCATTTGGCCGGTTCGTCCAGGCGTTTGATCCCTAGAACCAATGGTGTGCATGGCGCCGGAACTCCCTTCCATGGATCCAGTGGCCTTCGAGCGCCGGGTGTCGGACGATCGCAGCTCTGAATCCACCGATGACACCACGAGGCCCGCAAGGGCCGTGGGAGCGTGCGGGGTTTGGACGACCTCAAGGGCGGACTTCAACCTAGGGGCTCCCGTTTTTGTTGGACTTAAGCCTAAGAGGTGGCGAATTTCCCCAAGAAGGGAAGAGGGGATCCGGGTTGAAGTCTGCCTTGAAGACTTGGTGAAAAGCTGGACTGTCGACATCACTTTCTCTGGTTCACTGCGGTGCATGCTCATACCGTGGCCTATGACAACTTGAGGTTTTGAATTGGCCAAAGTGTAGACAACCAGGTGCTGTTGTGAGCCTGACATGTTCCCGCACAAAGGCAAGATCGAAATGGGAAAATACACCTGGGGCGATTCGGCACGTATTTGGCTAATATCCGTGGGCTGCCTGGAAATGCCTGGAATCAAAGGCTGATTGTATAGGTCCATTATGAACCAACGGTCATTTCACCCACACACTGGGGATTTCAGACCAGGGCTTCCCCAACAAAAACACGGACGTGTACATCTAGTTGAGGTGATAACGGACGCCTGCTTTCTTTCGCATTTTTCGCATGAGCTCTCGGATTTGTGTGTGTGTTTTTTCCCCCGATTTTCCAAGGGCCTTTGGATAGCTGCTTTCTTGCGCATTTTTTGCATGAGCTGAGCTCTCGGATGTTTTGTTTTGGTTTCTTTCAGCCCCAGGAGCTGGAAAGACAAAACCTTCCAGCGCCAGAGCTCCATCTCCACCTCCGCGGGCACTGAGCGCAGCCCTTCAGAGGCGCTGATGGCTGGGAGCCGTGCGCGGGCGGGCGAGGGCCTGGTGCTTGTCCCAAGAAATGGGAGAGTCCAAAGGTCTGTGTGGGTAGTCAAGGAATCCAAACCCATATAAAAAGCCAAAAGGAAATCAAGGGTTACCTGCTAGGGCTTTTCAACTTGTTTTTTATGTGCGGGGAAAGCAAGCAGAGCATCCTTGAAAAAGGCTCTTCACAAGAATGGCCCCGAAACGAGGCTGTGCAAAAGGCGTTGGCCCCCTTGCCGCGCGAGTGTACTGTCGGTCTCTTTGCGGCCAGGGTGAAGACCATTGGCCGTGTCCGGGGGCTCAGCCGCTGATCAGGTTGCCTATGTCCCTGTTGGCACTTGAATATATTTATGACATGTTGCTCAACAAATGTAAAAGAACAAGACGCAAGAAAGTAAGGACGTCTTGTCCAATCAGAATGTCTTGTTCAGTTAGAGTTTTAACAATGAATATTCCAGTTCAAATCACATGTTGCGCAGGATTTCCTTTCCAACAGACGTATCTTGGGCCATCAGCTAACATTTAAACATAATTTCTTCAACAATGTTGGGACCTCTGAATTATGATGTTATGAATTTATGAGTTATACTTAATTTACTTCTCAAATGGTACTCAATTTCTAACTCAAATTGAATAGATTAAGAAGGACACATTCCAATTAGCATTTCTTTCTTAAATTTGAATTTGATGACTATTGATTTGATTTCAATTTATACATTTTACCAGATGTCCTGCACAACTTTGTTCTTCACACATCAAATGAGTCAACATTGAATACTGTACCAACACTTAGATGTGAACTAAACAAGCGCAGTGAACACAGAAGCTCTTGCGCACAGGCGCGAACCGGGAAAGCGAAAAAGCAAAGAAGGTTCAGACCCATGTCCCAGATCCTGGAACTACTCCGGATTGAGATTGATTTCTCGAAGTTTTTTTGGGCATTTGCCTCCAGAGGCAGATGCAGATGCACATTCTTCCAGGTTTAGCTTCCAGATGCTTCCTTTTCTGAAAACCCGGCACGCTCGGTGTGACGTGTTCTGACCTAATATTTGGGACCCTCATAAATCAAGCTGCGCCATTTGGCCCCGCCCATTTTCGAGCTTTAGCAGTACGGAAACAAAATGAAAACATGGAAACTCGACTCCAACAGTTCAACAATAGTAGAGTTTGTGGAATACTAAAGTAGTGTTGCCCACTTAAAACTTCCCACCGTATTTTGGAGGATATTTGGGTGCTCAACTTTGGCCTTGTCCGCCTGGCCCACCTGGGAAGCAGCAATGCATCCGAGGTTCATTTTGCGCGCTCAGCTCCATACTCCAAATACCCTCTTTTTTCAGGGTATCTTGTCGACCCTCTACTAAAAAAGCAGGTATTTACCATGGAAAACCAGGTTTTCCCAAAAATACCCTGAAAAAAACGATATTTTGAGTAGGGGTGGCCAGTGCTTCAGTTGCCTCCGTAGTGGGTAGCCAGGTGTGAAAACCCCTGGTTACCTAGTGGCGAAACGCCAATCGGACGCATTGGGTTTTGCTGTATTCCGACCACCGGCCTATCTGAAATCTCCGAGCCACCATTGCCCTGGCTGCCACAAGAGCAGCCTTGACTGTCCAGTGGGATCCAGGAAACCTTCAGATCCCCTCTTTGTCCTGGTCCTTGGAATGGCACCCAGCTTGCATTTTGCTAGAAACCCGTGCGTATGTGCAATACATCTAAGCAAACAATTCCATTATATAAACAAGCAACTAAATAGATAAATACATAAATATATTAATACATGGATAAATCAATAAGTCAATGAATAAGTAAATAAATGACAAATCAGCACATACATAACTCATGACACAACTACATATATATATATATATGCATATACGTATATGTATATGTTTGTGTACTTGCTCATTCATTTCATTCGCTCCCTTTGCCTCCTTTGAGGCCTGGAGCACAGCCTCACGAAGGCAGGGGTGCCGAGAACAAAAAACAACTTGAAGCACCGGGCTCCAAACCACCAAGTAGAGAGTACCTGGGAAACCTGGAGAGGGAAACCAATTGGAACTGGCGTCCCCTTTGAGTTGATGTGAGGCCTGCTGACTCCAAACGGGTGAGATAATACCAGCAGTCGCAAGCCCTGGCGAATAGTCCTGTTCCGGAAAGCTTGGTCGGTTTAGCGCTGGGGTTTCCAAATTTAACCCGCAAGTGAGACTCACTTTTAGCAGGGCGTGTGAAACCGGACAGCCGAGTTTAAAGGGGCCAAAAAGCTGATCCATGCAATCCCTTAGCCACTTGAAGTCCAAAGATCACATTTGGAGGTATTCTCAAAATTTCCTGGGGCTTTTGTTGAACCCGTCTAAATTTAGAGGCCCGCGTTTCCTCTCAAGCCGCTTTTCCTTTTCTTGGCTCATTTCGAATTGAAAACGCTCACCGCCGGTTGGGGCGAAGCTCTAGGTGTCGGCGCTGGCGCTGCAGAGCGATCTCCTCCAAAAGTTCTCCTCCCCGAGCTTCCAGAAGGAGCCGGTTTCGCTTTGAACCGCACGTGCGGCTAACGGGAGATGATTGGGCAGCCGGGGCGGGGCTCGGCACGTTGCGATCGATGCAAGCTATTTGCCTTTGGGCGAAAGGCATGGCGTAGGTCGCTAGTCCAGGCAGATGAAATCGGAACGTGGAGCCCAAGCCATGATTCGCATAATTTGTCGGGGGACCCCTTTTGAAGTTCCATTGTAATTTGAGGGCGGGGGTCCCTTGCAAATAAACGGATGCAAGGCTCAAGAGTGGCAAAGAAGACAATCATGACTGTTTCGCGCGGCCTGGGTGGCGTTTCATGAAGATCGTGCGTCGCAAAAGCGCTGGTGGCAAGTGCAACAAATGTTTGCATTCGTGGAGATATAGGGTGCCACCGCATTCAAGGGAAGCTAGTGCGAACATGTACGCACGTTTTTGCGCCGCAATGCTCAGAACAAGGCCATGCGAAACTGTCGCGGGTTTTTTTCAGCTCCAAGAATCTGTCACCTGATTTTGGCCGCCTGTTTGGCGCGGACCTGTCGG